TTGCCTAAGCTTGCCTAAGCAGGCGCTTTAGACCGCTGGCTCCAATACCACACTTTGATTCTTCTACTGATGGGCACAACGGGCCGCTTCCAAGACCGAGCTCTTATGAATGGTGCCTCTGGAGACACGCGTGTGCAGGGTGGGCGTTCAGATAAAGATCCGCCCTCACCACCCACTCAGCACCGGGCTCCGTCCTCCCTGCCCCACACATGGAGCTGTTCCACCTGTGGCATAGCTTCCCCTGCGCGTGGCTGCCCTGACCTGGGAAACGGGTGCAGAGCACCTTGTGCCTACTTGCTGGTATCTACCGGTCGATCTGCGCAAGACCTCAGGGCACTCGGGGAGCAGCGCCCGCACAGGGGACGGTCACATGCTTGCCGAGGGGACGAGATGAAGAACCCCCCGCTGGGGGCCCATGGCTGCCTGGATACAGAGCCAACCCGAGACGCAGGCAGCCCAGGTCGGCAGCGGAGTCCACCCCATGGCTCCCCCACTGTGGGTTCCTCCGAGATCCACCCTGCAGGCCACCCGTGTGGCTCCCAGTGGAGTCCGGGCTGCTGCTCAGAGCATGCCGAGCCCCACATTCAGGTTGCCAAGTCAGCTTCCCTCCGAATTCCACCTGGGAAAGGGCTGAGACGGGGCCAGCCTCAATAGTGATGAAGACAATAATGGTAATAATAATACTAATACTACTACTAATAATAATAATAAGGACCACCAAAGTAGGTGCTGTGAGACACCCAGAGCAGTATTTTCATATAATTAATTATTCATTCTCTTTCTCAGCGATCCTCCCAAGGCAGCACTTGCTATCATTACCAGTTTATAAATCAGTTGATTTTAGTGCTAGTACGCCTACAAAAAAGAGCTATTTTTTGAGAGAAAACATCAACTTTCCACTGAGTCACCATCAGTGGTTCTGTGGGGAACACCAGCACCCCGCTTTAAGGAAGATGGGTGTGAGTGAGACCACCAGGGCCGCTGGATCCTGAATAGACCCAGAGTGCAGGCCCAGCGTGTGAGTGAGACCACCCGGGGCC